TTCATATTTTTTTCTACGTAACTTTGTTCGTGATAATATGTGATAATACTATTTTTATTAATATATATATTTGATTAAATATATTACATAGTTTTGTTTATATTTTAACATTTAACCACCGTGTTAACTTACCGATATGAAATAAATAAATTGAAATGCCGAATATATTTGAAGCAAAGAATACTTTGATAGTTTGATACATTTTATAACAACGTTATCAAGTTTCAGTACCAAAGCCCAATATGCCCTGTAGAAAATTATACTCTTTCGAACAAAATAAATAAATAAAATCTGATCTCTCTACGAGGCAACAGATTATTATTCACAAGCCGTGTTTTGAGCAAAAAAATACGGTTGTAATTGTTCTTTAATGTACCTAGTGCTGTGGACCGAGGTCGTAGGTACTCAGAACACATTTTCATGGAAAGAGAGGGAGGGGTTATGGATATCATAGTAGGTTGGTAGTGAAATAGCCCGTAATTCTAAATTATATCAAATTTCTATGTTAAACTAATCTGAGAATTTTTTTTTTAGTGGTGGGAAGGGTGCCCGGGTGGGTGAGTTGACATCCCCGCCATCAAACGGCCTTCTGTTGAAATGTGCATGTGAGTGCGTAGAGCACCGCCACCCACGACATATTCGCATTAATAATCATTTACGACAAGACTTCCCGGGTGGTTTTGAAGGTACATTGCCTGCATTTTGTCCATTACTAAATAAACACGAGCTGGGGCCTTAACTAAATTAAAAAAGTGAACTGACGTTCTGTGTTTCAAGTGACCGGATTCCTGTATTTAATTTTTTTCAAAAGTTCATTATAAATTCAATACGGCGTTACGTATCGGCAAAACAGGTACATTAATGAGGCATGGTCACGGAACTACGGAAGGCTATCGGCCTAGGTAAACCGACAATACGTTCAATAATTAGCTTACTTCTCAATAGGCCAATATAATAATATGTAACTTTTTTACGTTATATATTAGGTTTGACCATAAATAAATATAATAGGGAATAATAAATAATATAATAGTTAAATAGATAAATAGATACAAATTAACGTTATAATATGGCATTATCGGATTTACATTACATCATATACTATGGAATATACTATAGGTTTTTTGTGTTATTAACTAATCACATTTTAATGGAAATCTAAATATTTTTGGAAAATGTCAAGTCTTTACGATTATTCTTTCTAAATTACATCCTATTACATTGTTGAAATCAGGTTTTTTATAAATATTTCGATTTTTCATCAGCTTTTCAAAATCATTATGAAAAACACTGAAATTTTACTATTTTTGGCCTCAGGGTACCAACTAGACAGAATTTCTGTTGAAACTTGAAGCTGAATCCCTGATCCAAAGCGTGATGACCGATGCTTGTGGCTTTATGCTTATCTTTTTTTTTAGTTTCCAGTCAAAAAAAAATGTAAAGATTTTGTATACAAATGTCAGGAATTAGGTGTTTTTATTACTATTTTTTATTTAGATAATTATACAATCTGTGTATATATGGTGCCTTGTTGATGTTGGGGAGTTGTAGTAATAGCTACGTTGTAGTTATTATTAATGATCATTAAATATGTATGTTTAAATTGATTACTTATAATCGATTATATAGAGAGAAAAAATCAATTTGATTGATGATAAAATACAATATATTATATATCTCAGATGCGTGTGTCATCGTACATTCGTTCTGTATTATCAGTGATAACTGATAAATATATACTTGGTCCCTCTACCTATGGTTGCGTTTATAGTCCCCTTTATCTAATTCTTGAAACAGTACGCTAGTACGCTGAGATAGCGCTGGTGGAATTTTCGGTACACCGGTATCCGGTATTTTCGGCATTTTAGAATACTGGTATACCGTGAATCGGTAACTATACCGATGTTAGTTGTTACCGAAAATACCGTGCCACGGTAATTACCAAATATACCGTATACCTATTGTTTATTATTTCTACTGACATAATAATAAAATAGTGCTATCCTAGGTTTGAAACTTCGAAACAATAATAAATAAACCAAGATCCTATAGTATTTTCGATAATTACCGAGGTATCGTTTTTTCGGTAATAACATAACACTAACCTAATAACCATCTGCTGATTTTGATTAAATATCTGTACCTATAGTTTGACTAGGTAGAGTATTTAAATTGTATATTAGCTTTGATATAAACTTGAAACAAATATACTAACAATAGTTATTTACGATGTCGATGACAAAATTATTTTTTTATAAAATCAGCAAGTTTAAGATTTCGGTGATGTGATAATTATAAGGATTTAGCAAAATCATTTTAAACCTATTTTATTGATTGTTCCAAAAAAACCAATAAATTGGTTAATCCGCCGTTACAACGATTTTTCCATAACACAGTCTGTCTCATTGTAATTTATTTGTACTAATTTTTTACCTTTGCAATTTACTTCTGTGATATATATGACTAGTCAACTACCTAATAATAACTGTATAACATAAGTGCCTAAGATATAAAATACCTATATATAATTTGTGCCAAAAATATTATAACCATAAGTATCAATATAAAATTATACCTCAAAAAAGAAACAACATTATAATTCTTATATGGATACCTGGACACATAGGAATAGATGGTAATGAAAGGGCTGATAAACAAGCCAAACTGACTATCCTCTCAAATGACGCACAATACATAAACATCTCTCAGTACACTGAGGTAAGAAAACAGATTTTACAAAACACAATTTCCCTTTGGCAAAATATATGGATCAGCCAAACGAACAAATTAAACCAAATTAAAAAAAACAATAATAAGATGGAAAAGAAACCCAAACATAAGTACCATAACGAAAAAAAACTAAATTGAGCTAGAATTGGACACTCAAAATTGACTCACTGATATTTAATGGCTAAAAACGAACCACCAATATGCCTAACATGTGGCACCTCACTCACAATTAAACACACTTTTGAAGAATGCAGAATATACTAAATACAAAGAGAAGAACCTTACATAAGCCACGACATCGGAACAAGCCTAGGCCCAAACCTCGAAAATGAAGCCAACACAATAGAATTTTTCAAAACAATAAAAATATTAAACCTACTGTAAATTATAACCAAAATATTGTAAAATCTAAAATTGTTTATTTTACTCATTACTGATTTATATACCTATAAACTATCTTTTTTTATTTTTTTTTCTTTGGCTCTGTCTCGAAAATGTAACGCTGCCACTGTTGTCAAAGCGGAAATTTAATTGTGTAAATTTCAAGATCAATAAAAAAAAAAAAAAATTATACCTAATATATTGACATAAGTGCCAAAGATATTAAAAAGAAACATCATTATTCTTTTGCACTAATATTAATATTTTATATATATTAAATATTTTAAATATTCAAAATTTTCATTAATCCATACCATGTAAATGTAAATATCCATATCCTTGTTGATTAAATATAAAAATATAAAAATGCACAAAACACATAGGTAACCAAGTTTTAATACGTGGTAAAGATTACGCAAATTCTTATTGCATAGTAGATACCTACTTATAATACAACACAGAGTCTATAACGTTCTATAGTAATTATTCGTAATCACTTATCAGATAATACATATTTATTGTTTTAGATAAACCGTACCTACATTTGGAGTTTTTGAACGATTTGGTTTTTAATTTAATATCTGGAACGAAGGCACACAGTTATTTGAGGGATTTTGGCACTTTTCCTGTGATTTATTCTTTTCCAATCTCATTTTGACACTAATGTCTTCCCTCGCTACTAATTGAATTCATATAAAATTACTTTGTTTTCTATTAACGGTTCTAGACGTGGAGTTACATTCAGAAGAATGTCCATTAGTTTTCTAGTGAACCTATAACAAAAAACAATGTGTCCGTTAACATTCGTACATATAATTTTTTTTTTAATTTATCATGAATAATAACTGGGCCCTGAACATTATTTTTTCATATATTTCAACTCTAATACTATGTGTCTATGTCACATCAATCGGAACGGTTCCAGCTTTGATACATTTTTGTATAAGCATTTAATATAATACTTACATTTTATTAAACACAACATATTATTATGAGTAGTAGGGGAGAATGGGGGAATACCGGTAACCTTGTTATCCAATAATCCAGTGCATCTAAAATTATGTTGAAAATACAAAAATGTTAAGAATGACAACAAAAGCTTATTCTTATCAAAACGATATTTTTAAAAGACTTTTTTACGTTCAAATGTTTACAATTAGTTTTCAGAGATAATTTTTCTAAAAAAAAAATGTCTTGCAATCTCAATTAAGGTAAAAATATTTATAATATATTTCTACTTTATAGATGTACATATAAAACAGAATATGGAGATTATGATAATGCATTCAAATCACGTAATAGTATTATGGTTTATCAATGAAAAAATATTTTTTAATTATTTGTCAAAAGGGGAAATACCAGTCAGTATATAAAATGTAATATAATGTGTGTTGATAAACAATGATATAACTCAGTATTATCTATTGGTATTTATTTTCAGATTCTATCTAATATCTATGAGGAAACTTTTATTTAAAACCATTATTTCAAAAAATAATGATTTTTTAAAAAAAATATCTTTTCTCTATCTTTTTGAATGTGTTTTATATGTGTGACCGGTATTCCTCGGGGTAGGGGGAATACCGGTCATTTGCGTTTAAAAAAAAAAAAATATTACACTTAACTTTAAAAATTTTTAACTTATATATGTAGTAGCTAACAACTTTGTAGTTATAATGTAAGCAGTAGTAAAAAAAATTTATTTTTATTACCTTAGATACATGAACTCCCGCTTAGGTGACCGGTATTCCCCATTATCCCCTATACCAGCCTCGGGTTTACTGATTATCCATTCAATGTTTATAAAATCAATAAAATAATATTGTTTACGTATATTTTTTAAAATATAATTAATATTGATGTTTATTATGTTTTAGATAACTGAAAAAATGGTGGTTAAAATTATCATCATCGGGGCTGGAGTTGGTGGTACAGCAGCAGCTGCTAGGCTTAGCAAAAGAGGATTTCAAGTAGAAATTTATGAGAAAAATGCATATAATGGTGGAAGATGTTCACTCATTCATCACAACGGACATCGATTTGATCAAGGTCCATCATTGTATCTGATGCCTAAAATATTTGAGGAGACATTTGAAGATTTGGGAGAGGACATTAAAAATCACATCGATTTATTGAAGTGTCCTTCTAATTACAGTGTACATTTTCACGACGGGGAAACATTCGAACTTACCACAGATATATCAAAATTATCTCGTTCTTTGGAAAAATACGAAGGCAGTGGCGAATCAACATTAATTAACTTTTTGAGCTATTTAAAGGAAACTCATGTGCACTATCAAAGGAGTGTTAAAGTTGCACTCAAGACCGATTTCCAACATTGGTATGACTTTTTCAATCCAAAACATATACCAGACGTAATCCAGCTGCATCTTTTGGACACAGTTTACAACAGAGTTTGTAAGTATTTCAAGAGCGACTACATGAGAAAGGCGTTTTCATTCCAGACTATGTACTTGGGGTAAATAGAAAAATGTTAATTAATATTATTATCTTATCAATAAAACCAAGATTATTTTTATGATTTTAGAATGTCACCATATGATGGCTTAGCTCCCTATAGCTTACTGCAGTACACTGAAATAGCGGAAGGGATTTGGTATCCGAAAGGAGGTTTCAATAAAGTTTTGCAAAGTCTTGAACAAATTGCCGTACAATATGGGGCAAAGTTCAATTATAAAACTAATGTCCAAGAAATAATAGTGGACGACAAAGGAGTGGCAAAAGGAATCAAAATGGTGAATGGTGATGTGGTAAATAGTGACATTGTAATTTGTAATGCAGATCTCGTATACGCGTATAACAAACTTTTGCCAAAAACGTCATACGCCGATAAACTTGGGAAAAAAGAACTCACTTCATCCTCGATATCATTTTATTGGTCCATGAAAACGATTGTGTCACAGTTGAAAGTTCACAACATATTTTTGGCCGAAAAATATAAAGAAAGTTTCGATCAAATATTCAAGGATCACACGTTGCCCGACGAACCATCGTTTTATGTTAACGTTCCTAGTCGCATCGATCCGACAGCGGCGCCAGAAGGAAAAGACACAGTCGTGGTTTTAGTACCGGTGGGGCATATATCGAATGTACCTAATATTGATTTCGATCAACTTGTGAAAAGAGCAAGGGAACAAGTAATCGACACAATTGAGAAAAGATTGAATATATCCAACTTCAGAAGTATGATCGACCATGAGATAATGAACGATCCGAGAACATGGCAAAACGAATTTAATTTATGGAAAGGGTCTATACTAGGATTATCTCATTCATTATTTCAGGTTCTATGGTTCAGACCTAGTTTGAAATGTAAAATATTTGAAAACTTATACTTTGTCGGCGCTTCGGCGCAACCTGGTACTGGTGTGCCAATAGTTTTATGTGGTGCAAAAATGCTAGAGAAACAGTTGTGCGATAGGTTCTTGGATGGTAAAGTTAAAATAAGCATATGGTCGAAGTGCGTTTCATTTTTAATCGGTCTTCTAGCACTTCTGGTTTTTTGGTTTTTTTTTAGATTTTAATAATAAAATACACGCATGGAATACATTTATGTGTTATGTCTTATGTGTGAACATATTACTAGTGTATCATTTTTTTACTGTAATTCACTTTAAATTCATATTATAAGATGTAATGTAATAGTTAAAAATAAGCAATGTTGACGTTTTATGTAGGTACACTTTTAGTAGTTTAATATATACATTGTAAATACTTTATGATTAAATGGTTTATTGTGAAAATGGTATGAATACCATAATATTATACACATATCATTTATATTGTATAGATAATAACTAATAAGTAATATAAATGTATATTAAAAATATTATTGTTATCCATATAATTTATATACTCATTATAATACATTCGATCTTACGGTGTTGGATATTTTAAAACTGAAGTATTATACATTTGAGCCTATTTTTTATTTTTATACTTTTCTGTACATTTATTTATGTCAATTTAACCGTATCAAAAGAAGTATACCTATATTAACTATCTATATTATATATCTATATATGTAGAGTACAGAGAAAAAACCAGAAAAGTAATTTTATTTTCAATATTGTGGTTTCAGTATCAAATTATTTGTATTGGGGTATTCTATATTTTAAGCAGTTGAACTAGGGGAAAATTCAGATTAGTCAAGACTCGAGAGTTATGACCGCTGAAAATGTAGGCGTGCAGCTATGGTTTAGAAATTAAAAACACGTTTTTCTGGGAATGAAAGAAAATTTACTTTTCTGGTTTTTTCCCTTTACCCTTATTATGTGAAAACTGTTTTTAATTAAAAATTACTAATGCTATTATTTAAAAATACTTTACATTTAGTTTATTTAAATGTGTACTAACGTCCACATAAATGATTAATTATTGTTTTATAATCGTATTTTTCTAATTTAGAAAAAATAAATAAATCAAAAATAGGTATTTATATTTTAATATTTTATCATACTCAATACTCATATTATATACTTTTTTTTATTATTATAATATGAAATATATCTACAACATATACAATTTTTTTATGTACAATAAGTAAGTTTGATAATTGGGAGTAAAAAATAGGTTGATATAATGACATGAATCTTATGATTAGGGAGGGTACCCAGTGGTAACACCCTATATATTATATACTTACAACATATTATTATATTATAGATTGATGAAAGTATATGATATTATGACTCTTGACCTATACAATTAGGTGTAGTAAAAATTAATGACTGTCTGGTTTTAAATAATATTATAAATATTGTTTTCTTTTTGTATTTTTAGATTCTGAGAAGAAATAGAATGCGTTTATTTTACCATGATTTTTTTTTTTTTTTTGCTGTCTCATCGATATTTTAAGTAGTAAATATGATCTGATTTTTAAGATTCATTACCGTCATTAGTCATTACTCATTACCTATGGGCTATGGCCTATAACTCTTAAAAAGTTATAAACATAAAACGAAAAGATATACCCTGTAACTCAAACAATATTATGAAATCGTATTTTATAACTAATTCATCAATAACTAATATATTGATATGTTTTAAGTTTTAACTATTCAACTCCAAGCTAAGTGCTACTAATGGGTGGCTCCTTATTCACGTAACCTCATAATCGTTTTTTTTCTAATCTCACATGAACTTATTGTGCATAATATGTGTAGATTGTATATTTCTTGTGAAAATAAAAAAAAAAACTTTTCTTAAAATATGATCAAATAATACCCAACAAAAAATATGAACGATTGAACGAAGATATGCCATTCCCCAATCAGTAAAGTCCCATTCCTATAATAGTGTACAATCAACATTTTGGCAATTAATGTGGTTCTGATTTCACTTCATAATGTGAATTCCTCTCAATAAAACACTCGACAATAAATTGTTGGAAAATCTTTAATTTTAGTTATTATTTATGTTTTATGTTATTTTGATGTTAAAAACAATTAAAAATAATCAGTTTTTTAAATGTACAGGTTAGATGGTAACAACCAAACATTACTTGGTGCTATAATATATTTTTAAATTATTATTTTATTTTGTTATAAAAAGTTGTAATGTATTATTATGTAAATGTGATAATATCAACAAATAAATGTCCACATAATTCAGTACATACCAGTATTAAAATATTATTGTAATTATTAAAACTATACAGTAATGAAATAGATAACAAGACGTAGCCATTATATTTAGTCCTCCGTAACAATAGATGGCAGAGAACATTCTGAAGTGGCAAACGCTTCAAAAATCTGACAAATGAATTTCTTACTGATACTAAACAACTAAACTGATGAGGGTAGAGAGCCTTGAAATTAATACCAAGGCTCTCCAGATCATACCGTACGCCAGCAGTATATATATACCGTATAGGTACTGAGTATAATATATAAGTTCTATGGATTTATCATAGTAAATAATATATTTTATAATATCTATGGCAATCGTCAGTTGTCAAAACTCGAAATTTATCGACAACTGACGATTTACAATTCTAATAATTTCAGCAAACACTATTAGTAGTATATGAGGCACTTCAGCACACTTGTCATTTAAATGCAATAATTCCTAAAATACTTTTCATAGAAATTGAAATGCAATAACTCCTAAAATACTTTTCATAGAAATTGAAATGCAATATTTCATAAAACATTTTGCTTATTCATTGAAATGCAATATTTCATAAAACATTTTGCTTATTCATTGAAACGCAATAATTGATAAAACATTTTGCATATTCATTGAAATGCAAAATTCCCCAAAACATTTTTCAAAAACCGAAACGCATAAATAATTAAAAATATTTTTTAATAGAATTGTTCTATTAAAAATAAAAATCAAAATGCAAAATGTATTAAAAAGAAATTGAATAAATTAATTTAAAAATTAAAAATATAATAAATACTAAAAGAATGGCAAATATAAATTCTATAAGCATATTAGAAAACATGAAAGTCTCTGAGCTTAAGTTAATAGCAAAAGAGGCTAAACTTAAGGGTTATAGAACTCTTAAAAAAAATGATCTTATATCAAGAATTAGGAGAGGTCATACAATTTTCGATTTAAAAAATTCTGAGCTTTAGTCAATAGCTAGAAGTTTTGATATAAAACAAATTTACAAACTTAATAAAGAATATTTAATAAAAAAAATTAAAAAGCAACAACCCAAATTTCAAGAAGATATCTTCAAGGATGAAGTTTTTAATAGTTCATTAAACAATAATCCATTTCAGAAGTTAGAAAAAAAGTTTTCACTGAAGAAAATTATTTTAATAGTTCATTAGAAAAAACATCGGTATCGACCACCAGGTGCCATCCGAATTTTTAAAATTTTTTTTGTTACTTCTTAAAATGAGTTTTCCTGCAGATGTCCCACGTTTCTCTTTCAATTTTTTTTCATCAATTTAAATCAATTTATTTTTTAATTTTAATTTTTTTCAACTATGTTGAGTCATCAGAGAACACTTACTTTTTAATGTTATATGTTATATGTTATTTATTTTTTTTGCTTTATGGTATTTTTTTTTAGTTATTTAACTTATGTTGATTTTTTTATATAGATTTTTTATATACTGATAAAGTAACAACCCGGTGCCATCTGAATTTTTTTAAATTTATATTTGTTTTCTAAAATTAATTAGCCTTTCTTTGGCAATTCTCAATTACAATTTTTTTTTCACAATTTCAACTCTATGGCTGATTTATTTATATACATTTTTTAGGCATTGATATTCTGGTGACTTCAGAATAATCATTCTTTAATGAACTAATTATACTTAAATATATATTATTTCAAGATAAGTATTAAGTAGGTATGTAAACTTGTATTCAGCTGATATCAGTAGTCACTAGTCAAGAACTTTCGACCACGAAAAAATGATAAATACCTATAAGTTTTTTATAAATGTAAATTATACACTTGATATACAATTTTATCAAAATAAAAATAAAATAATAATTAGGAATATTTTTTTTTCATTTATTTTACTCAAATTGATTATTTTGTATAAATTTTTCAAACAGTGACATCAGAATTAAATATTGTTTTTACATTTGGTAAACTTCACTGGTATAGAAAGCTATTATTACGATTGGCTATTGCGTAGTGATCTGCAGTTTTTCAATTAAAAATAAAAGCTTGTATACCTAACAGTAATATTTGGCAACTGTAAATCAATGTGTTAAATCTCGTTAGTCAAGTTTTCGACAAGTACCTACATAGGTAACTTATAATAATTCATATTGTAATTTAATTAGATACCATAAAAATATTACTTCTCAAACACTGTGTCTATGGGCACTGACGGGAGAATGTATTAGAATGTATTAGAATGAATATAAGCTTTCAGACCAGGGCCGTAGCTAAGAATTTTCTATGGGGAGGGTTCAGTTCCATAGATAGAAATTTTATAGAGGATATTACTATAGGAAATTACATTGAGTAAAACATCAAAATAGTGAGAATAAAACATTATATTTTCATTATAACACTAAGTCAATTTTTCTCGGCTTCTTTGCCATTTCATTTAATACTTCATCTGGCGTGATAACAACATTCCTATAATAACTCAGTAACACTAAACCATTGAGACGTTCCTGTTTGATAAACAATTCAATAAAATGAAATCAAAATAATCAGGTTAATTAGAATTTATTGTTTATACATAATACATACCTCTTTCATACTGTTTCTGAGGTAGGTTTTTATTCTTTTTAAGCCAGAAAAAGACCTTTCTGGTGTTGAAGTAGAAACAGGTAGACAGCACAACATTTTTAATAACATAAATATATTAGGGAATATGATTGGGCCACAACACCTGATGGCATCCAATGCATTAGAAGGTAGCATTTCATTTCTATTTGTCACCAGTGGCGTATCCAGGGGGGGGGGGTTAGGGGGTTGTAACCCTCCCCGAAAATTGTTATATTATAACAACGTTTTCATTAATAAATCATTTTAAGATAAGATTCCACAAAAAAAAAATTATAACCCCTCCCGAAAAAAAATTCTGGATACGCTACTGTTTGTCACTAGCCCTTTAAGTTTTTGTTTCCAAATTTGAAGCTCACAGTTAGCTGTGACAGTATCGACTTCAGGAATATAGAAAGAAACTAGAGATTCAAAGTCTTTTATATCTATTGAATTAGTGTCATCAAACAAACATTGAAACCCTGAAATGTAATTTTAGTTGTTAAGAATTAAAATCCATAGGTAAGTATTTAATATTTGAAATAGTTTATAAATTGTTAAATACTAGTTATGGGTCGAACTGTTCAGTTCCGCCTATCGGTTATCACTATTAAAATTTACCTTTAAAAATATTTTGGTGAGCCAAGAATCTTTCATTAATTTGTGATATGAATGATTCAATGAAAGGAATACAAATTGATACGCGGTAATAGTCTTCAGTACTAAGGCTGTTATTTGATGACAAATAGTTTGACCTGTTTTTTTGACGGTTTATAATGCGTTTAGTAGATATTTCTATTCCCATTATTTCAGCCATTCTCTAATAACACGTATAATAACAAAAATAATAATATTCAAGGGAAAGTAAAGAATTAAAATTTAAAATAAATATCTAGCATTTACTTGAGCTTCTTTGAACATTTTTTTGAATTCATTTTCAACATTTTTTCTTAGATTTTCAAGAACAGTCATACTAGTACTTGCCAAATTGACCATTTCTTTTAAGTCAATGTTTTTTCTCTGAAGCTGCTTACACAATGGTATCGCAAATGAAAATAATACCTATCCAACAAAAATCAAAGTGCAAAAAATTATGATTTATGTTACTAAAACTTTATAAATAAAGGTAAACATTCATACTTTAATAACTTGAAGAGACACAAGAAATTCTGAATCTATTGCTTTTAACATCATATTTGCATCAGTACTTGCGAACTGTCATTCCATTCTGATATGTTACTAAGTGCAGTTGTTACACATGGAAATAGCTCAATGAAATCATTGATAGCGTCATAACGTTGTACCCATCTTGTCATACACAGACGTTTTAAAGTTTTCACTTTTGGTTCCCAATCACCATTATTAATAACTTCTAAAAGTTCATTGTTTCGTTTAGGAAAATTAAAAAAACAATAATATTTTTCAATTATTCTAAGGCAGTTCCTTATAGACTGCATATTGCATGCAGACGAAACGGCTAAATTTAAAGAATGCGCAGCGCAATGGACATACAAGGCTTTTGGATGTTTAGGTCGCATAATTGTTTGAGCGCCTTTAAATTGACCAGCCATATTTGCTGCACCGTCATATCCTTGGCCGTACAAAAAGTCACAATCAAGCCCACATGAATTTAGTCCTAAAAAATTAATTATTGTACAATATTATGATAAATGAAATTAATATTATACATATTATATATATATACATATTTGAGTAATAATCATTATATAATGTTTACCATTGAGGATTGATGACGCCAAATCTTTTCCAGTCAAACTGCTGATTTCATAAATGATCATAATATAGATATATAAAGTATTTATTATTTATTCAGTTAAAAACAAATGGTTTAAAAATTTTTTTTTAAATTTTAGAATAAACTAGAAATTTTTAAATTTTCTATTTTTCTAAAGGGGGGGGGGGGGGTTGAACCCCTTAACCACCCCCCCCCCCCCGTAGTTACGGCCCTGTTCCAGACCAGTCTATATAGTTAAACTTGGCATGTGAACTATAACTCAAATAGAAAACCAGAATAGGTACATTACAGATGTAAAAGAACATACGATTTATCAATATATAACTAACCGGAAACGGACCTCGGACAAATGTTATCCGGCCCACAGATAATGAAAAAAAAATAAAAACCAATTATAAAGAACATAGGTAGGACCAAGGGCCTCGCCAGTTTGCTTGATTTGCCACCCGACAGTAGATGTTTTTAAAGTTTTCAGTATTAAACATTATTATGAGACTATTATGAGACTTCACATAAATCAATTGCCGAAAAATGTCCAGTAATTTATGAACTTTTTAAATTAAAAATTGTGAACCTGCATATTATAAAATATTAAGTGTACGAATCATACACCAAATTAGTTGAGGGCAAGACTTGAGACAAGATTTTTCCCAATAATTTTAACCCAATTTTCTATTTCTATTAAATGTATTATTAATTTGTATTTCATTTTATTTTAATTTACTTAATTATTTTATTATTATTTTATTTCCATTAGGCCACTATGTTACTTTTGAGTTATACTATAATAAGTTAAGCATATTTGCTTTGGATTTTGATGGCCCCCGAAAATTTTCAAAATTCCCAATGTAGTTGTCCTCCAAAAATATTAATTGATGACCTCTGCTGTACGCTTAGTCGTAACACGCTCCTGCCATAACCACCATGGCAATTGTTATGGATACGAACAGCGCTTCTTCTAAAGGCAATCCGTCGGCTACAAACATGTGTCTATCGTGATCTGTGTCTGTAGTGATTGAAATTTAAAAACGGAAATTTCCACCGGACACAGAGCATTGCCCACAGCGAGGTCAGAGCTATTTGTAGGACGACGGACACACGTACTCCTCGATGGGGAGTTTCCCAAAACGCCTAAATATCTTTCGGAAACATAGGCCCTCGCTTCGTTGAAGATATTATAGTTGAAACACGGTACTGTGTAGAAAAGAGCCACGATGCTTAAGAATGCAATTTTAGTAATTTCCAAACGAACGATAAATGTCCGCTCTATTAACGTCAATATGCCAATAGCTGGAAGTAAATATGTAAAGTGGATTCCCATGTAACTCAACATTTTTACTTGTCGGGTAATACTGAAAAATTAAAAATGTAGTGGTCAATTCGTTTGCATCATCAGATATATGAACTATAGAATACGAATATGTGGATATTTTTTAACTTTTAAACATCTATATTGTACCTATGCGTTATATATTATGTGCGTTTATAAAAAATATAAAAAAATTATATCCTGAGACCACAAATGGATGGAAAAAAGAAGTATGTAATTTCTACTAAGTATAGGTACCTATAATTATTAATATTAATGAAAACTGATTTGTACAAATTACAAATACCTAAACAATTTTATATTTATATATGTTAATATGTTTAATCTGTTTAATGTTATATCATTAAAGAAATTGTAATGCGAAAAAAATGTAATCAATAATTTTAGCTGATAATAGTTTTATGCCCTGTAATTAGAGGTCAATTAAAATAACATTATAATCACGATAAGAATAAAATAATACATTTTAGAATTTAATAATTAGGACCTAATTTAGCAAACCTGATTACTGATTAGTACCATACATTTTTAATTAATTATTTAAATCGTTGTACATACCGTAGTATACCGTTTAAGTTAAATATATATTACGTACAAGTATTTAATATTTTAACCAACAATTAAATGATCACACTAGTGTAATAAAGGCATAAAGCATATATTGTTTGAGAAGATGTTATCTGTCATACGGTAGATATAGGTACCTATATTATATTATTATATGAATATTACATTTCACAGACATAAATGTCAATAACTAATATATTACAACTTATCAAACTAATATAATCATAAAATCAAAATTATGAACTTTTATGATTACGGTTACAATAATAAATTAAAATCTGAGTTTAAAAAAACATCCATTAAACAAAAAACTTAAACAGTACTATTTAAAATATAGGAATACTTTAACTAACACGATAAAAGAAGCTAAAACTAAATTTTATAAATCTGAATTAGAAAAAGCCGGAAATGACTCGAAACTAAACTGAAAAGTTATTAAAAACGCGACAAACCGTTCTAAAACAAATTCCTTTATTCAAACTATTAATAACAAATTTGGTGAAAAACTGCACTCTACAGATAAATCAAAAAAAATATCGAATTATTTTAATGAGTACTTTACAAATGCAGCACAAAACGTGTATAACCAAATAAAACTTACAAGACAAAATATACATAACATAGAATGTACATACACTGAACAACTAATCTCAAATACTACAGACATATATCATTTAATAAATTTAGCGTAATTAATGATGAAGAAATTATAAAAGCAATAAAGGCTATTTTAAAGATGATTCTTCTCCAGGGTTAGATGGAATTTCAGTAAAAATGTTCAAATTAAATAAACATTCATTGATTAAACCATTATCACACATTTTCAATTTAGCTATAACAACATCTACTATTCCGGAATGCTTTAAAATGTCTGTAATAACACCAATACACAAAAAAGGTGACAAATCTAACATTAAAAATTACAGCCCAATCTCACAAATATCAAATAACGCCAAATATTTTGAAAAAATTATTAAAAAAAAATTAGTCCATTACCTTGAAAGTAATAATCTTCTATCATGTACCCCATTCGGTTTTAGACCTGGTAAGGTCCGAACAAGCAATTGCAACAGTATCAAGCTATATTTATAATTCTTTTGAAAATAAAAAAAAATGTGCAACTGTTTACATGGATCCAGCAAAAGCATTTGATACTATAGATCATAAAATATTACTACAAATTGTTAACACACTTGGTATCAATGAAACGGCTCAGAATTTATTAAGTTCATACTTAAAAAATAGAAAACAACACGTTCGAATAAACAATGAATTAAGCGAAGAAACGTCAATAATATGTGGTGTACCTCAAGGGACAACTCTATCGCCTACACTGTTTAATATACATATGAACCAAATTAATAATTTGAATACACACGGAAAACTAGTTTGTTACGCAGATGATACAGTACTTTTCGTTGAAGGTCAATCCTGGGATGAAGTATTTGCTAGTGTTCAATCCGACATGAGTAAAATACAAAAATGGCTATGTGAAAATAGTTTATT